AAAATAAAATAAATATTATTATTATTATTATTATTATTATTATTATTATTATTATTATTATTATTATTATCACCTGTTAATACTTTAGAGCTGCACACTATTTTCTTCATAAAATAGTTGTCCACTATGGAAAGGAATCACAAGAACTGGCTTCAGTGTGCATTTTCGTGCCTTACTTTTCACATCCTCTTTCAGCCTCTTTCTAACCTTGAGGTGTTACAACTGGCTAGTAAGACTTAATTTGAACACACCTATCCTTGCCAAATCCACTAAAAGTTCATTGGCTGAAACCACTGGAAAGCTTTCAGATGTATTCATTTCTTAACATGTCCTGTTAACTGTGATTACAAATCTGGCTTCTTATAGCAATTACATATAGATAATTGCTGAGAGCATTTAGGACTGACAGTCCATTATTCCACTTGAATTCCCAGGAATTTAGCAGAGTTAAATTCACTATATTAATTGACTTACTTTAGTCTAAGTGTCATATCAATTCTATACAGTTACTAACAGCGGGCAGCTGTTAAATAGCATCAAGGGAGTGTTCTATGATGAACCTATCCGCTTTAGAAATCAGGAAGCGCAAATCACTCAACCAGGATTGGTTTTCCCCATCACCCTTAGTGACCCTATACTCTATTACTCCCTGGGGAGACAAGGGGAGCAGAGGCCACGGAAGATTTGCTTCTTAGCAGCCATTGACTGACAGGGTGCAAGTGAAGTCATCTGATTTAAGAGCCTGTGGTCAGTTTTGTAGATTCTATAAAGCTTAGTTCAAGGAGACAGTTAGATCTGAACTTATTTAGTATTATGGATAAACCACTTTATCGGTGGTTCCCAACTGGACCATGGATCCATCCTGGGATTTCTAAGCACAGAATATTTAAGACAGTATGTGTTATATAATTATTATTCTCATAAAACTTTATTTAACTCTTCTTCTTCTTGTTTTTTTGTGGCAGTAGAACAGCAATTTTAAAAGCAGACAATCTTACTGTGGAAATATGTTGGAGGTGAAAAAAGCCTGATGTTCATATATTGTCCTGTGTGCAGTGGCAGCCTACAAAATCTGCATTAATTTTCATCAAGAGGCTTTTTCTTACTTGGCATGAGCTTTGTTTGGGAAACGTGACAGAATGCCTGAAAGAGCAACTGCAGATTCTGAACAATATGCAACTACACAGCTGGTCTATAAGCTGCCAGCTGAAACCTGCAGCTGAAAAGTAAATCCAGTTATATCACAGTAATAGTGGCCTTCATGGACTATAAGAGTGTTTTGTGTCGTGGAGTTAATGAGGTTTGGAGAAAGTGTCTTTGTTTTGGAGCACATATATGAATAAGAACTCAAATACTAATACTGTGTATAATACAATACTAAAAATCCTGGGCTTCCCTCAGGTATTTTCCCTGGGAAATAAGAGAGGAGGTGAGAAATCCCTGCTGATCCTGGGATCTAAATTCCCCGCATTGAACCCTAATGTAGCTGCCTAGCAGGCTAGCATACTCCACACCTGAATATATTCCCATTGGTTTTCCTGAGACTGAACACACACACACACACAAAAGTATGTGAAATACTGACCTCACTGAGTATTTTAAAAAAACTTTTATTCCCTTTCATTTCATCACTACATCTGTTGTATTGCACTGTTCTTTTATCGAGCCAGTTTACACGTTATGTTGTATAAACTGTTTTAGTAGCTTGAATAAGCCTGAAGTAGTTGTAATTACTATTGCAGTGCTTTTAATGTTTTGTTACTTGATGGTTTTACGCTCTAATTGCATTTTCCTTGATGCAGTGCTTATTTAGCCCCAGTGGTACTTGAGTTATTTTAGTTTTTATTTGGTGAATTCAAATGGAAGAACAGCATAGTCCTGGGTTTAAATCCACTGACTGTGCTGAGTGAATAGATGGAAATAAATTGAATAGATCTCAATAATATAGAAGAAAGTCTACAGCATGTTAGAGATGTTGTCTAATGTCACAGAATTAATTTACAGTGTAATCTAAACAGCAATTAATATTAACACACTTAATTGACTTATGCCTTTCTACTTCAGTAAACAAGTTTGGAAAGTCAACTTATTCACCTAAAAGCTGTAATAAACAAAAACAAAGGCAACCATCAGCAATATTAAATGCGAATACTATCCCGGTGATAGCAACGATAAGCATGGCATCCATGTATGATGTAAAACTGCCGCAAATCATCTATTCTTCTAGCAATCAGCTAATTAAGTAATTAACAACAGGGTGAATAGATTGAAATCTAATTTGAAAAGGACACAGGCTTTCTTTCCGTAAGGCTGTTTGTCGCTTTATGAACTGTGTCTAGCAGCAAGAATTACAATAAGAGCCTGTGAAAAAGTCTTTCAGAGAGATACCCAATTAGTGGGAGCTGGAGGACAGCGTTTGAGAGCAATTAGCTCAAGTTACGAGCCTCGTGAGACAGCTCTGAGAATCAGCTCCCCTTGACTGTATCGTAAACCTCCGCTTTACCATTTGTCTTTTATTAAACTCACTGTGTAAGTGTTTAAATCCAAAGTGGAAACCAACTTCAAAAAAGGAGCCTTGTTATTTGTGTCCGATTTCTAAAAGGTGTCCTTACTCCCTCTTGCAATCAAGGCAATATTGCTATAAAACATGCAGCGCTGGTTTATTTTAGATTGGTTGTAAGGTAAATTGATTTATCGGGCAAAAATGGCTAAAAACAATACTTGAACGAAGAGAACTTAAATTGTGTTATATTAATGTTCTCATTCATTGGCACTGGTATCAACTGTATGTACGAGAAAATGACTGCATACCTTCATGTTTTTTTGTCAGTTTGGACCTGCTTTCTATTTTACCATTCCTCCCATATTATTCTTTGTAAAACCAATCCCCAATTTTTTTTTATAATCTACAATAAATGACAATGAGTGAGCAGCCTGTGCATGCAATTCACTCCTGCCATGTAAATATCATATTCTTCAATAAAACTCAATTAGACTTGAGTCTGTTATCTGAAGCCTTTTTTTAATTTTCTACTTGAGAGAGACATTGTCATTTTCAGTAATATGAGAAATGGATATACTTTGTTTTAAGTTCCGATACTGTTTGGACTCATTTAATATATGTCCTACAGAAAAAACCCTAATTTGATGCTATTTTTGCAAATTAAATAAGTTAAATCATGAGTAAAATACCTCATTTGCTTAGGTGATGAAGTAAGAAAGTCCATGTTACTGTTTAAATAAAGTTTTGATTGGGGTAAACATGTATTTGTCTGACATTTGATGAAAGAAAACCTGCATCGACCCTTAAAGCCTATAAAACTGCATGATTGCAAAAACAAACATCTATTAAAGCAAGAGAACTGTTTTTATTCCTGAAAGAAATCAAATACAAAAGGCCACTCTCTGCAGATATTTGTATTATGTACTGTTTTTTGCATCCTAGACACCATTAAGGCTTCACATTAAGGGTTAAGGTACCTCTTAATGTCAAGATGCAATAAAATATGACTGTATTTTAAAAAAGGACAACACAACTAGGCAATCCAAGTGATTAATCTTGCTTTATCCAGAAGGGTGCCGCTAAGGCTGGTTATTGCTATGGAAACAACCTGATGGCATCGAATCCTTTCAGCAATGGCAGCTTATATCACTGAGGAAAAAAACTAATCTAAGCTGCTGCTGACCTGATAAAGGGCCTCTATGAGTATCACCAATGGCAACAATGCAATGTATCCATTGTGTAGATGGATGTAATAAGTAACCATCTCCTCTGTACAGCAATTGTTCTAAAAACATTCAATCAAACTGTGCTCTAGAGTTTAATACTATCTAAAGATATGACCACTAAGAGAGCAATTATTGTGACAATATAGTGTTTTCGAGGTTGCCACTCTAATGTAGGGGCTACATTCAAACTCAGGGAATTAACAATATTTTTCAGAAGTCAGCGCGGCAGGAGGGAGTCCGGTGAGCGAGTATGAGGCTGCAATTTCACCTGAAGCACACGTCAAACACACTGTGTGTGGGAGGACTGCACCTCCAGCTGACCTTTTGGAAAGCTGTCACTTTCTGGCAAAGAAAAACAGCGGGGTGACATGGCGATGGCGAGAGTTTAATCACTGGCCAAAAAGACCCGATGTGATGGTCACTGTGAATTGTAGCCACCTCATCTGTGCGAGCGTGGTACGACAGTGGTCGATGCAAATCAAACAGAAACGCTGAAACGGCTCACTCCTCCAGCTCAGAGCTCTGGCTTTATCACAGCAAACACACAATCCACCCATCACTCTGCTCCAGTACACCTACAGACATGCTTTTCCTCCCTCCCTCTTGTCACAGAACACACAAAAACGAGGTGAGAACCAGAGCCCACATAAGAAGAGCAGGTGGGAGTACATTATCTGGAGTGAGAAACAATTCGTTCTGGCCATCTCCTGCTTGTGCGCTAAAGTGATCTCCCTGAGTAGCAGCATATCAGCGGGCAGCAGCTATTGAGTGGGTGGTGGGCATTACACAACCTGGCTTCAGAACCTACACAGGCCACTCCAAAGGCCGGGCTCATTGAGCGAGAGAAATCCACAGTGAGGGAGACTGTGCCAGATCATGTTTTGATTGAGACTGGACGATAACAACCCCTCCTCCCCACCCCTGCTCGGTTTTATGATGGCACTCTGTGAGAGCTTACACCCTGCAGAGCATGCATTTATGCAAAGGCGGAGGTGGAGCTTGCAATCTGTTGTGAACATCAAACTGTATGTGATGTTTAAAAAGCTGCGATCACCAGTACAGCAGCAACAATAAATGTTACAGCGTCTGATTAAGAGTTGAACCAACCTCAAATGACTGTGCTGGTGCAAACCACTGGTTCCCAACCCGTAACAAATTGAGACAACACTTTTATCATGGCTTGTATGCTGCGTCTATGAGTTCTGTGCAGCCCCCTTTTCAGAATATTTAATTTGTAGAGGCATGAAGAGATGAAGAGAAAGAAAAAAAATGCACATAATTATTTGTAGCGGAAATATTTTTTGTGCTGTAAACTATAGTGATAATATACATTTTAGCCCAACTGACAATGGATTTGTGATATTTGAGTGTGTGAAGAAAAATCTGCCAAGTAATTCTTTTACATAAATACATTTAAAAAAGTACCATTAGCATCGTAGTACAACCCACAAACGTTTGATGAATAAATGAATAAAGCATTGTCTTTAGATACACATAACATGAATGTGTTTGATAAGGATTCCTTACATTTGATTAATTTTTCTACTGCCATTTCTGTAGTAGAATTCTATCAGCTGACACATACACAGATACAAATCTATCTGCAATAAGCTAATATCACTTGGGCCAATTTATCTGTCTAGCTCTTATATCCATACAAGTGTATTTTTTATTGTAAGCCTGTTGCATAACAGCCTATTGGAAAGGTTTAATGCCCTTGCAATGCTGAACAAAGAAAACACACTTCACATTAAACTCATAAACCTGCCATCATAATCAAGGTCTCAGTAAGACCTTTTTAAGGAGTAACCATGAAATTCCACAACCAAGGTTTTTGGTATTTCCTTACTAAGAATACATCACATTTTAATAAATACTTATCTAATATTATGAAATGCAGAGAGCTAAACCTTAGAAGCATTTCAGATTCTACTGGCTACCTCAACATCTCATGAAAAATATAATTTGTGGCTCAAGTAAAACCTGTTTCCGTTGTGTTTTAGTATGTTGGAGACCAAGCTCCAACAGGGTCGAGCACCCACACTGTAAACAGGTGTATGAACAGTGTCAGAGCTGGCCGTTGCCTGGCGATGTGGCTGTAGGAGCTCTATTGATGGGTGACTTGTGCGAAGGCCATGGGAGCAGCTTGTACTCAGTGGCCTAAGCCAACTCTGTTCGTCACACACACCCCTCCCTCCATGAAAACCCCACCTGCCATCTGGCCCAACCAGGAAGTGACTACGTGAATGTGAGAAGCAGGGAGGGAGAGAGAGAGAGAGAGAGAGAGAGAGAGAGCGAGAGAG